TCACTAGCCATCTACCAACTATCAACTATCACCCATGCGCTCATAGTACAAAGATACTCCCTGCACCGCGCATTTCCTCATAAGGATATACACTTATACCCGCTGCGTCGTTAGTACAGCCTGTCTCTGTACCCCCGCACTACCACCCGCTGCGCCGCTAGTACAAACGTCTATGTACCCCCGCACATAACCTGAGGCGTCGCTGGTACCTCACTGTACCCCCGCCCAATACCCGCTGCGGCGCAAACTCAGACGTCTCTGGGCCCCCGCACAAAAACCGCGGCGTCGCTAGTCCAGACATCTCTGAACCCCCGCCCACATCACATAGTCCCTACTATGTAACTATATATATACATATATATAACAATACTCAGCGTCAATCATTTCACACAACCGTTGAATCCTCTATTATCCTATTTCCATTTTATCAATCAAAAATAAAAATAAACAAGCAAGACTCGATTCACAGAGACGGANGCCCACATCACATAGTCCCTACTATGTAACTATATATATACATATATATAACAATACTCAGCGTCAATCATTTCACACAACCGTTGAATCCTCTATTATCCTATTTCCATTTTATCAATCAAAAATAAAAATAAACAAGCAAGACTCGATTCACAGAGACGGATCATGTTTCGAAACTAGACTTATCATAATAGCAGTACTAAACTAGTTCGGGATTTAAACGGAGTAGCCCTCACCTTAGCAATGAAGAGAAGTGGTATCTATGGTCTCCAGGTGCTCAAATAGACTCCAAATCTGAAACCAGGGCAAAAAATCGAGTCAGAACGGCTTTCGAACGGTTTAAAACGGGTTTCAGATGTTTTAGACAAAAAGTCAACTCGCAGGTCAAAGTCAACCCAGTCAACCCTTGACCAAAAATCAATTGACTAAACCAAATCGTTTTGACCTTAACCGATTTCGAATTGAATTGAACCAAATCCCAATCGATTTCAATCTGGTTTACACTTAACCAAAATTAATTAATTTAATTAACCGGTTTAACCCTAACCGATTTCTAACCAACAAAACCGATTTTGACCAAGCACAAACCGGTTGACCGAGTCAACGGTTGACTCACCGAGTCAACCCGGCCGTGTTGACCGAGTCACCGGCGAGTCACCGGCTCCGGTCACCGGTCCGGCGAGAAGGGGCGGTGGCTTACCGGCGGATCTCCGGCGGCGGCGCGGCGGCGAGGCGGCGACTTCCCGGCGACGGACTGACGGCGGCCGTGCTACGGCGGCTCTGGCGACCGGCGGTCGGAGACGGAGGCGCGTGTGGCTCACGCGCGGCGGAGGCAGTGGCGCGTGGTCGGCGCGTGTACTTCATGCGCGCTGGCGGCGTAACTTTGGAGTGCGCGTGATGGCTCGTCTGAGATCGGATCCCGGTGTTTTCGAGGTCTACGGCTTCGTCTCGACGAATAGAACACGGTGGTAGCCTTGCATTCACGAGATTCTCAACGGTTAGGAAGTTATGGTCGATTTACTAAACGTATCAAAACTAACTCGAAAAAGGTGGTGGTTTCCAGGATTACCTAGGCTGGGGGTCGGTGGTGACGAGCTCAGTGTGTTCCTCGCGTGTGGTGGCTCCGGCGACGAGTTCTGGTGGCTCAGCCTCTACATGCAAACACCAAACTCTCTCTTAAACTCTTTTTCTCTCTAACTCTCTCTTCTTTTGGTTGCAGATGAAGAAAACAATGCTGGAGAATTTGGTATTTAAAGAAAATACCTTGGGCTGAATCGAAGGGGCCTTGGGACTGGGCCGAAAATGAATAAGGGAATGGGTTTGGGTCATGACAAAATCATTAAACAATATGTTTGAATTGACTGGAGATGATGATGACAGGGAAGGTGGTGTACCAGATGCAGCTTCTTTCGAGCTAGACCCTGTTGCTATTCCTAGAGATTATCTTGAAGCTTTTAACGTTAAAGAAGAAGAGGAGGGGGTCTTGGTTTGAGTTTAGTGCAAGTCTGATGTGTCTTTTTTTAAAGTATGTTTAAGATGCACAAGGAACTGAATATGTATGAAAATTAAAATAAATAATTTTCTCATAAGCTTTTATTTTAAGTATGTTTAAGATGCACAAGGAACTGGATATGTAGATACTGTTTTAGGATAAATAATTTTCTCATAAGCTTTTATTTCAGGAACTGAAAGGAAGCATACGTGTGTTCTGCCACAAATTTGGTACAACAACTTAAAGCTTACACAAATTTGTAAGTTACAACTTTCAATCTTACACAAATTTCGGGGGTAAATACAAGTTTATAAATTTCGGGATAAATACAAATTTATAAGTTGTTACCAGAGTTTTTAACAGGATTTAAATGTAATGAAAATTAGGATTAAAATGTTTGAAAAAATAGTAGTTTTCAAAAAAAAAAGTTGTAATTTCAAAAAGTTAAATAATACATAGGGTATTTATCAATTTTATATTTATTTTGATCTTGAATGAGATTCCATATTGGATTTTATCGACCTTAAATATATACAACGTTGTAGTGGTACATAAAAAATCAATAAAACATGGCCAGTGTGTTGGTGTTCATTAATAAATGATCAATCCATCCACATAGATATAATAAATAGTTTTGTTGCAAATATTTTTCTTTTGTAGCAGAAGCAAGACATGTTCTGAAAAGTAAAAGATATTAACTGGTTGGATGTTCATGAGCACCATCAATAATGATAAGTTTTTTAAAGTTTAATATTAACAAACCAAAATAAAACACCTATTGGTTTATATAATTTATAATTTGATATCGGTTATTTTAAAATTAAAAACAAGAATAAGATAGGAAAAATAGTAGTGGCTAACAAATAGAAAGCTGATAAGTATGATGATAAATGGAAGAATTCATCTGATTACATATGATGATGCAAAATAGAAGATAAATAAAGAATGCAAGTTATCTAACTAACATAGATTTATAAAATTTAAGATTTTAGGCATGTTTACTATCATATCTATTTGTTGATATATATATCTTTTCAAAACATTAAATATATATATATATGTATAAACGCTAATTTAATATAATTATTGTATGATGAAGTCTACATTTATAAATTAATCTTAAATCATAATTAAAATTAAAATTTTCAATCAAATAATAAAAGTGTCAGCGATTACACTTTCATATTTAAATTGCTTTTATAATAACTATGCATAGACTATAATCAAACTAATATATCTTTATATAATCGATACATATTGAAAAAAATAATGTTGAAAAAAATTCTAAATTATAAAATCATAACCAAATCATATTAATATTATCAAAACCGGCCCGTGGCGCTGGCAAACACCTAGTGTCTTTAATAAGAGTTTCAAAAGAATGTCATTCTCTTGTTCAAAATAATATAGTATTTTATATTAATTTCAAAACAGATATTTAACTTTAAAAACAATATATATATGAAAATTTGTAAGAAGTTTTAAAATTTTAAGTATTTTTATAGAATTTATAGATTTTATGATTTATATTTTAGTTGTTTTGTTACTGATATATTTTCGTATAATAAAATAAAATAATTTTTAAAATATGTTAAAGTATTTTCTAAAAATAACAATCACTATATTCTGATAAATTTTAATGAAAATTTCTAAATACTTTACTGCTACTTTTGTTTTATTATTGTAAAACAATGAATTGATTATTTTTTGATAAACTGAAATATGTAGCAAAACTTGATCTATAAACTAAAAACAAAAACAAAAGCTGAAAATCAAAAATGAAAACTTGAAAATCAAAAACCAAACTAAAAAACTAAATCCAAAAACTAGTTAAAATAATCAACACCTATAACACAAAAACCTGAAAAAAAAATCAAAAATCAAAAATTAAAAACCAAAATCTAAGCATCTAAACCAAAAACCAAAAACTAGTTTAAAGTTGGGAATTTGCCTAATCTACCACTTTCAAACTACCCTATTTTACTTATATCTTAACCAACTTTACTCTTAAATTTTTGATAGGAAAAAGACTTTTGTACCCTTAACCTCTTCTCTCCCAAAAATTCTCCAGATCCCGGTTCTACGGCGACCAAATCCGACGAAGCCGAACAAGCCTTGAGCTTGACGTTGCCGTAGTTGAGACACATCCCAAAAGCAGAAGCACGCGCCACCTGATCGTTTCAAAAAGACGATGACAGAACTCAAAAACCCACAAAGTCTACATTCAGAAGATGAGTCAAGGAAAGATACATGTCGAGAAATCAGAGATTGTTAGGGCAAGAGTTCTGTTACCGGAGTAAAATCCTAGAGGAAGAGTCATTGATCAGATTCTTTGCAGAGATGAAGACCTATGGCCGCAACTTGTTGCATTGATCCAAGGGTAATAACATTGCCACTACATGTTTATGTTTGCCTTTGGAGATGCTGATTGTTTATTTGGTTTGCTTCTCAGGCTTACAAGAATGTGGAAAGAGATGCTAGAGTGTCATCAAAGTCAGTGACAGGTTATAAAGGAAGCTAGAGGGTTAGGGTCTATAAAAGCTAGCAAGAAACTAGGAGATGAACATCTAGAGGCAACTAGTTTGCTTGGTCATGAGCTTATTAACTGGATTTTAGGATTCTGTAGCTGGGTTAACTCGCAAAAAGGATATATAAGAGAGTTGAATAAATGGCTTATGAAGTGTCTTCTCTATGAACCTGAGGAACACACATGATGGTATCGCTCCTTTTTCACCTGGTAGCCTTGGAGTTCCACCGATCTTTGTGATATGTAACCAATGGTCTCAAGCTTTGGACATGATCTCTGAGAAAGAAGTTATTGAGGCAATGCATAGCTTCACCACGAGTGTGCTTCAGCTTTGGGAGCAAGATCGGTTAGAAACGACAATGATGGGGCAGGAGAAAGTTAGGAACATGGACCGGGAGGAACAGAGGATACACAGGGAGATACAATAGGCTTTTGGGTCACTGAAACATAAGCTTACACATCCTTTTTTGGTTCACTTTTTCTCCAGCTTGCAAAGGTTATGAGATGCACATCAGATCCAGACTCTCTGTTTTGTCATCTTCAATGGCTCTTGGGTTGCTTCAGATCCTGATGATCACTTCTCTTCACTTGATCTCTCTATCAAGTCACCAAGAGACAAGGTTTGTCTATGAAAACTTTACCTCCCAACAAAACCTTTACCTAGATGCTTCTGCAAAAGTACTACTTCCCAGTGGATTACTCCAGCTGACAAACAATTCAGATTATCAAATGGGCCAAGCTTTCTACAAGAAACCAATTCAGTTCAGTTCCTTTTCAACTCATTTTGTGTGTGCTCTGGTGCTAAGCCAGGTTTGAACCCAGCCATGGTCTTACCTTTTTAGTATCTTCTTCTCTAGACTTCTCTAACGCACAAGCAACAAGATACTTGGGGCTTTCAACACATCATTTGAGTATGATCTCCAACTGGTGTATCTTACTTTTATATGTGTTGAGTTTTTTTACAGAATCCTTGCGCAGTTAGAAGACGATGTGGTTCTGTGTGAATCGCAGATGGAGAATTGGAAAACAAATTTGGAAGTAATGGCAGCCAAGGAGGAACAGTACATACAGCAGTAGAAGAAGTATGAGGTAGAGACGCCTTCTTTTCCTTTTAGTGTTTAGATTCTCCTTAGGTGATAAGTAAGCTGAGAATCAGATACATTCTTGCAGTGAGATGAGATACCTTCATGTAAAAACTGGAACAAAATCTCAGAGAGTTGAAACGGGAAGGTTTAATTTAGTGATGTAAGCAAGTAAGCAAGTATTAGCTTATGAATGCCAATAGGATCTCATAGATTTGTGAGGAGAAGGTTTTTAAGTTCAGAATCATCGGTAACTACTAAAGAAATGTTGAGGGAACATAATATAGTTTAGGGCAATCAGGAAGCTGGGGTGTGAGTATCTTAGTGTTAGTGTGTGTTTACACATTTTTGAGTTCATAAGCTAGTGACTGCACCTGATACTGATAGTAGAGTTCTCTTGCATAGGTTTGAAAGAGCGAACTGAGAAATAGCGTTAGGCCCTGAAGATTGAGTATAAGCTGTTACTTTGTTTTTTTTTTGTGTCCAGGGGAGCTTTGTTACAAACATAAATGAAGATTATGAATCAATCTGCTGGGGCTGTGGACTAAACCTCGTTCTTCCATCATACCCACCTGTTCTCAAATGTGGCTGGTGTGGTGCAATCACGAATCAGAATCCAGTCAGACCTGAAACCAGAAGCTTTTGGTTGAGACGTATCCGTGACCGCTGTTTTGTCGCTATTCTTGCTGTTTTATGCTCTTTGTCATATGTAAGTTCCTCTAAATTATCTAAGAACAACATAAATGTAGAAATGATATTTGTCATTCTCATACTTGTTTTGGTTAATAAACTGCAGGTGGTGGGATTTGGGCAGCGTATCCGGTCGTGTTTTTGATCAGCTTGGCTTGCGGGATTTTCCATTCTGTTATAGCTGTGTCTATGGCGATATCAACGTTAACAACCTTCATGGTTGTTGTTTTTAAATGCACGGGGAAACCTATTGATATTGTTTATGGAACCCACCCTGGTGTAGGGAATGGTGCACTTAACAACTATACCTTTTGTCACTACTGCTCCAAACCAAAGTCACCTAGAACCCATCACTGTCGCACGTGTGGCATGTGTGTCCTCGACATGGATCATCATTTCCTCTTTGTAAGTCTCATGGTTTCACATATAAGTCACAGACTTAAAACCAAGTTAGTTATTGGTTAAGAGGTTAAGGCCAATGACTATCCTTGTGTTGTATTTGTAGATTGGTAACTGTGTTGGTGCTAGCAATAACAAAAACTTCATCGCCTTTCTTATCTCGGCCATTATAAGCACAAGCTACGCTTCTTTTATGTGTGTGTATTCCCTGATTCATATCTTGCCACCACCAGAAAATGGAGCAGCGTATGCAACACATGCTAATAATAGTGTATCGATTCTGAAAGGGGTGAAGAATATCGTACTTGCTTACTTTTCCAACGCTATCCTCATGTCTATCCTCAGTCTATTTTAACAAACTCTTATAAGTGATTTATATACAAAACTATTTTATATATCCATATGACTGGTTTAACAAACCTCTATAAACACACATAAATAATTTTGCTAATCATTATAGATGTTTCATTCTTGCAGACACAAATAATCCATAGAAGAATATACAAATATAATGAAAGATGGTTCATACCAAATGGTGTAGTTCTTGGCATTGGTGATGAGCATTTTTTTTTCTATATATTAAAAACCTGAAGGAGGCAATCGAGGATGTAAGAATTTATAAACTTTTATAAATGATTATTAAAATCTTCTAAATGATTTATAAACTCTTATAAATTGTGTTACTGCAAAAGTGAAGCAGGCATGGTTATTGTAATTAGAACATCAAAATGGGGCCATGAGAGAAAAGTTAGTAGCATTTCAGTAAATGACATAATCCCTAGTACCTCAAAAAAAGAGAGTGATAATCCAATAATGTGATCAGCAGCCAGGCAACAAATCCATACTAAAAACATAGAAAGAGACGCTATTTAGAACACAAAATAAACATCACATGGTATATGCATTGCCCGAAACCAGTACTATGTTCTGCGAACATACCAAACTAACGAACTATAAAATGGTTCACATCACCATGGGAAACGCAAGTCCAAAGATGATTCCGATTACACCACCAGCTAGCTTCTCCAACCAAATGACATTGTTGCTACCTCGCTTTGCTGTGCCTTTTCAGAAGCTCCTTGAACCGTTGCAGCCATTGGGATTATTAAATGATTTTGTACTCTTATAAGATTTCCTAAATCTATTTCATTAAGTTTGTCAGCATTCTATAAAATTTTATAAATGTTTTATAATTTCATATAAATAATGTTATAATCCCCTATAAATGATTTATACAATCTTATAAAATTTCACATAGGGTATTTGTAAACTCTTCAAATGATTTTTAATTTTCTATAAATATAATTATAATTTATTATAAAGTTTGCAAAGGTTTTAGATGATTTTATAAATTAAATCAGTTTTATAAGACTTTATAGATCTGTTTGAAGTTCATTAATATGCTTTTATTAACCCTAATAAATGATTTATAAAATCTTATAAATGGTTTATAAAATTCTAAAATGGTATATAAACTTTTATAATTAATTTAATAGATCTTATAAATGATTTATAAACTTTTATAAAGAATTTGTAAATCTTTGTAAATCATTTATAAATATTTCTAAACTATTTATAAGCATTTATAAATGATTTATAAACATTTATAAATTACACATATATTCTTGTTGCATTTGATTTTTTAAATAGTTTTGTATATCCATATAAACATTTTTATAAACCCTTATAAAACTCTTATATAAACCCTTATAAATTATTTACATACCCTTATAAACTCTTACAAATTATTTTACAAACCATTATAAATTATTTTATAAGTCTTTCTAAAAATGGTTTATAGAGTTCTAAAATTGTTTATAACCTTTTAAAAAACTAACTTAACTCTAATAAATGATTTATAAAACATTTATAAATGGTTTGTAAACCTTTATAAATCTTTATAAATGATTTATAAACATTTATAAATTGTATAAATCCTTATAAATCGTATAAGAAACTTAAGCTCATGTTCTCATAAATCTTTATAAAGATCTATAAATGTTTTATAAATTATTATAAGAGTAATAAATTCATGTATGCTGAAAGACTAGCATGCAGAAAAATAATAATGGAAGCAGTGAAACAAATATATTATTGTTAAATAATATATAATGATTATCCAATTGTAACACCTCATGCAACACTTGTCTCACTCTTACTTCATCCTCATCACTAACAGATGTCATTGTTGTGTTTAAGGAAAGATGAGTAAGCTGCAAATCTAGTGATATAAATAGCAATGTGTTTGTACAATAGTGTAATCAATAATAATCAGAACATCTTCTGATCTCTCTCTCAATACTGTCTTATTTCTTTCTCGATAATTATTTACTTTACAAAATATTCCTTCACCAATAATAAATCTACAACACGTTATCAGCACGAAGCTATGTACCAATTTCTAAACAAAGTTATACTGCTAAGAAAGAATGCCAGACTTTGAGACTATAGATGAGATATCTGTTTGGCAGATAGTGCTACGACGCACACGATAACCAAAGATAAGAAATATTTCTAAAGTAATAAATTCATGTATGCTGAAAGACTAGCATGCAGAAAAACAATAATGGAAGCAGTGAAACAAATATATTATTGTTAAATAATATATAATGATTATCCAATTGTAACACCTCATGCAACACTTGTCTCACTCTTACTTCATCCTCATCACTAACAGATGTCATTTTTGTGTTTAAGGAAAGATGAGTAAGCTGCAAATCTAGTGATATAAATAGCAATTTGTTTGTACGATAGTGTAATCAATAATAATCAGAACATCTTCTGATCTCTCTCTCAATACTGTCTTATTTCTTTCTCGATAATTATTTACTTTACAAAATATTCCTTCACCAATAATAAATCTACAACACGTTATCAGCACGAAGCTATGTACCAATTTCTAAACAAAGTTATACTGCTAAGAAAGAATGCCAGACTTTGAGACTATAGATGAGATATGTGTTTAGCAGATAGTGCTACGACGCACACGATAATCAAAGATAAGAAATATTTCTCCAGTCTCAAAATAAAAGATTACGTTGGAAGCGTAAGTACAATATCTGGTAATGCAAAGATTATAATGGGCTCTGGAAGAGTGAAATTTTCAATGCCAAGGGGGACGATATTTGAAATATGTAATGCATTATACTCCCCCGAGTCTAATAGAAACTTGTTAAGTTTCAAGGACATCCGAAGAAATGGATACCATATTGAGACTATGTGTAAAGATGGCATTGAATTTCTTTGCGTTATGTCCGAGAGGAAACATATATTGGAAGAATTAAAAATGTTATCCTCTGGACTATATTGTACAAGAATACACATGACTGAGTCATATGCCGTGGTAAACATGAAGTTTACTGATACATTTAAAATCTGGCATGAGAGGCTAGGACATCCTGGTTCAGTCATGATGAGAAAAATAGTGCAAAATTCAAATGGCCATCCGTTGAAAAACAGAAGAATTTTGCAAACAGACGATTTACATGTAAAGCATGTTCTCAAGGAAAACTTATAACTCGGCCATCACCAGCAAAAGTAGGCAATGAATCACCAATGTTTTTAGAAAGAATACATGGTGATATATGTGGGCAGATCCACCCACCGTGCGGGCCGTTTAAGTATTTCATGGTATTGATTGACGCATCTAGTAGATGGTCAAATGTGTGTCTTTTGACAACACGAAATACGGCTTTCGCAAAGTTCATTTCCCAAATAATAAGACTGAGAACGCAGTTCTCAGGATATGCCATTAAGAAAGTAAGGCTTGATAATGCCGGTGAATTTACATCACAAGCCTTTAATGATTATTGTATGTCAGTGGGGATTGATGTAGAACATCCAGTGCCCCATGTTCATACACAGAATGGCATGGCCTAGTCATTAATAAAGCGGTTGCAGTTGATTGCAAGGCCGTTGATCTTGATGACAAACCTCCCAATTTTAGTATGGGGTCATGCTATTTTGCATGCGGATGCACTGATTTGGCTAAGACCGAGTGCATATCATAAGTACTCCCCACTACAATTGGCATCTGGACATGAGCCAGATGTATCCCATCTCCGTGTCTTTGGGTGTGCGGTCTATGTTCCAATAGCTCCACCACAAAGGACAAAATGGGCCCACAGAGGAGATTGGGAGTATATGTGGGTTATGTGTTACCAAGTATAATAAGATATCTAGAACCAGTAACTGGTAATATGTTTACGGCACGATTTTCCGATTGTCATTTTAATGAAGAAGAATTTCCAGCGTTAGGGGGAGGAATTAAAGAAATTCCTAAAGAGATTACTTGGTGTACACCATCGTTGTTACACCTTGATCCCCCTACGAATCAAAGAGAGCTGGAAGTTCAGAAATTTGTGCATTTGCATAATTTGGCAAACCAGTTACCTGATGCGTTCACAGATACGAGAAGGGTGACGAAAACATATATACCCGCTGAAAATGTCCCATCAAGAGTTGTTGTTCCTAAAGAACACATTGATGGAGATACAATGAATGAGCCTAGGGCTCAGTTAAAGAGGGGGAGACCTGTGGGTTCTAAAGATAAAAATCCCCGAAAGAAAAAGAAATTGATTGAGCAAAAAGAGAAGGTTCTAGAAGAACCTGATACTGAAAAATGTCTGAAAGAAGGCATAAATGAAAAGGTTCAAGAAGAACCAAATAAAGATAAGGATCCAGCTGACGAGGAGGGAACAGAAAAGTATGAGATTTCCATCAACTACGCCCAAGATGAAAAGTTATGGATCAGAAATAAGATAAAAGATGTTGATGGAATGTTCTCTTTTTCTGTGTCCAAAGAAATAGATCACGAAAGTGATGATCCTGATCCAAGGTCTATTTTAGAATGTATGAAAAGACATGATTGGGAGGAGTGGAAGAAGGACATTGAAATTGAATTACTCTCCCTAAATAAAAGGAATGTCTTTGGACCTATAGTCATAACGTCTGAGAATGTAAATCATGTTGGGTATAAGTGGGTATTCGTGAGAAAAGTAAATGAAAAGAATGAAATAACACGATATAAAGCCCAATTAGTAGCCCAAGGTTTTTCTCAGAGACCGGGAATTGATTTTGAGGAAACGTATTCCCCAGTAATGGATGCAATTACGTTTAAATTTTTAATGAGCTTACGGCGTCAAAGAATCTTGAAATGCATCTTATGGACGTTGTGACTGCATACTTGTATGGATCATTGGATAATGATATATACATGAAACTCACTGAAGGATTGAAAATGCCAGAAGCATTGAAAGAGAAATCCAGGGAGATTTGTTCGATCAAATTACAGTGATCACTTTACGGATTAAAGCAGTCCGGACGCATGTGGTACAATCGCTTAAGTGAATATCTCTTGAGAAAAGGATATGTGAATAATGCGATATGTCCATGCGTTTTTATAAGAAATCGTCATCTGGCTTTGTGATCATCGCTGTTTATGTTGATGACCTGAACATTATTGGAACTCAAAAGGAAGTTGATAATGCACGAACTCATATGAAAGAAGAGTTCGAAATGAAAGATCTCGGAAAGACAAAGTTTTGTGTTGGGCTCCAAATAGAGCATCTCCGAGAAGGTATATTTGTGCATCAATCAAATTATACGAAAAGGTTATTGAAACGCTTTCATATGGACAAAGCAACTCCTTTGAGTACTCCAATGGTTTGTAGGACTCTCGATGTTGAGAGAGATCCTTTTAGACCGTGTGAAGATAGCGAAAAGATGTTAGGTCCAGAAGTACCTTACATGAGTGCTATCGGTGGGTTGTTGTATCTAGCGAACTGTACCAGACCTGATATTGCTTTTGCCACTAATCTTCTTGCAAGATATAGTTCGGCTCCTACTTATAGACATTGGAACGGAATTAAACACATATTTCGTTACCTTCAAGGTACGGTTGGCCTAGGTTTAATGTATTTTAGAAAACCCGAGTTTGGTATGGTTGGTTTTGCAGATGCAGGATACTTATCAGATCCTCATAAGGCTCGTTCGCAAACCGGCTATGTTTTTACAATTGGTGGGACAGCGATCTCTTGGCGTTCGCAAAAGCAAACTCTGGTTGCAACATCTTCGAATTATGCAGAAACCATTGCACTTCACGAAGCATGTCGAGAATGTGTGTGGCTTAGATCAATGAGGTACCACATACAAGAAGCAAGTGGAATAGTTGATAAGAAAGAGCCAACGAAAAAGTTCGAAGACAATTCGGCGTGTGTTGCTCAACTTAAAGAAGGCTATATCAAGAGTGACAGAACAAAGCACATGCCTCCAAGATTTTTCTCGTACATACGGAAGCTCGAGAAAAATAAAGAAGTGGACATCGAGTATATACGGTCATGCGACAATCCCGCGGATTTGTTTACAAAAGCCCTTCCGACTACAATATTTCGAAAACACGTCTACAATATTGGAATGCGACATTTACGTGACCTATGAAGAAAAAGCTATGTCCATTATGCTTAGGGGGAGATTACGTCAGTGTACTCTTTTTCCTTTTTCATGGTTTTTAACCCAACGGGTTTTTGCATGAATAAGGTTTTAACGAGGCACTACGTAATAAAAAATGGAGGCGGAGTGTTAAATAATATATAATGATTATCCAATTGTAACACCTCATGCAACACTTGTCTCACTCTTACTTCATCCTCATCACTAACAGATGTCATTGTTGTGTTTAAGGAAAGATGAGTAAGCTGCAAATCTAGTGCTATAACTAGCAATGTGTTTGTACGATAGTGTAATCAATAATAATCAGAACATCTTCTGATCTCTCTCTCAATACTGTCTTATTTCTTTCTCGATAATTATTTACTTTACAAAATATTCCTTCACCAATAATAAATCTACAACAATTATTTGCTTTTAGGGTGATTAAAGAAACCCCCTTGGATTTGCTTTTGTGAGAACACATTAGCCTGCTCTACTAAATCTGCTTATGGATTGTTTAAGCAGTCAGGTAACATGACCAAGATTCTGATCCACTAAACATATTAAGTAAGAAAGAAGGTAAAAGCGAAGACAGGGAAAGAGGTAGCCATAACTCCTATCGTTGAGGTAACATGAACTTGGTCTTAACCACTTCAGGGGTCTCAGAGTTCACATCTTCATTATTTGCTTTCGAAGATTTCCCCAATATTTCCCACAACTTTGATCTCAAAACAGCAGTACTTCCCATTCTGTCCTTGTCAGGTTTATCCATCTCCTCTCTCTTTGACGCAACCTTTTGCTGCAAGACGACAGACTGAAGTTCTCCCATCATCTCTGGACTTCTATCCATCTCTTTACCATTCCTGCCTCTGTTCAGCTTATCATCCCCACGCTGAGAACTAGAGATGAGGAAGTTCTGAAATGAGTCACGATCTGGTCCCTGATGTGCTCCACTTAGTCCCTTGCTTAATCCTTTACTACCAGAAAAGCTAGACGCTTGCTTACAAAGAACATTCTCCAGAGTCCTCCAAGAAGGTGAGATCACATGTTCAGTGCCCTTAGCTGAACTCCTCTGCTTGGCAGCTACAACTTTCTTGTTCAGCTGTGAATCAATTACTACCGTTGGTGACTTCAACTGGTCTCCATCACCCTTATCTGGGCCATGGTTTCTTTTTGGTAGTGAGTCAGCCATAACTCCTATAGAAATCTTTTGTGATTGACATGATGGATGAAAATTACTGCCGAAGCTTCTGTAATCGCTCATCTTTCCTTGAGAATTAACCGTTCTTTGTGAGAAACGAATGCAAAATAATCAAGGAAACAACATGTATAGAGATATCTATTATGGATGAGAACTATCATATTCAAAACGAATGGTAAGTACCTTGCGATATCCAAAGCAAAGTTGAGAGCAGTGGCTGGAGTAAGACCACCCTTTTCCTTGAGGTACTGATGAAGATCTCCCTGTGACAAAATAAATTAATCATTTATGGATTAAACATTGCAGAGATAAAAGACAGGGGATAGTGAAAAGAGTTACCTCGCGTAAGTATTCAGTGATTAACATAAGGGGCTTTCTTTTGGTTACAACTCCTAAGAATTGCACTATATTTGGATGGTGAAGCTTAACTAGCAAATCAACCTCATGCCTAAAGTCCTGACTGTATCACAGCAAATATGAAACTTATGAAACACAAGAATCTTAGGAGAGGGAGAGACTGTTAACAAGGTGTAAAACTCATCAGCTAACAGCAAAAGAGAAAGAGAGATAAGAACTTACATTACCAGTCTGTCATCTGACAGAGACGGAAGAATAAGTTTCACAGCTACTGGTGTTCCTCTCCAATAGGCTTTCACAATCTCACCAAAGGAACCCTATTCACAGAAACTCAATTTAGAAACTCTATTGCACCAAAAAAAAAATATAAAATCAAGACTATGACTTCAAAAAGAAAACACAAACCTTTCCAATCATGGCGGCATTAGAGAAATCAAGCTCAGCAGGTTCAATTTCCCAGTCACATTTCTTTGGTATTGGTGGTGGCACAGGCTTTGGTTCAAAGTGACTTCCGTTTTGACCCTGCATAGAGAATTTAACCAGCCAGGTTCAAAGACTAAAAGATCCACACACACACACACACAAATAAGACTGTAATTGAAACACTAAAATGTCTCTTTGAACCTCTAAACACAAAGATAACAAACACACACTCCATTTAAACAGCTGCTTCAGATAGAGATGAAAGTTTCAAAATGTTACATTAAGATTTCATATAGAATAGCAATTAATATAAGATCACAAAGAAATTAGAACTCACATAAGATAAACCGCCATTAGACTTCAGCAACTCAATCATACTCTGCTTCCTAGCTCCTTCTGCACAAGAAACAAACAAACAACTAACAAAACATTTACATCAAAAACTACAAAACAATCAAATCACAAACAAGAAAAAAAAAGACAATACACTTACAGTGTTCTTCCACCTATCCTGAGCGTTGACATCAGCACCAAACTCGAGCAGACAATTAACAACATCGATCCACCCATGAAGCGACGCCACGTGTAAAGGCGTCCTCTTATGATAATCTCTAGCGTGAACCAGAGAAGGATCCTCTTCCAGGATAAGGCGCGTGTAAAGCCGGAGATGGCCCAGCGCTTAATCCCGCGGAGGAAATGGCTTGTTCGCCGCCGTCTGTAACCGCCGATGAATCGGAGCTCATCTGAAGCGTTAAGATGAGATTTTTTTAAAAAAAGGGTTTATGAGCTCATCGCCGCCGTCCATGCGTCGCATGCTCTTCCTCCTGGAGCTTGAGGGAGATTCCACCATAGGTCCCTTCTGGATCCTCTTCATGAGATGCGTTGAGAATCCGGAGATCTTGTTGCGGAGCCTCTTCGAAGGGATGATTGCTACTTCCTCGAGGATCTTCTTGTTCGTGTGGAAAGCGAGATTCATGCGCGAGTAGTAATTCTCGATCACTTGGGGTGATGATTTCTTCACCTTCTTCGTGCGCATGCGACCCATTATGACTCTGGTGCTGATTTCAGCGGTGGAGGAGGTAATAGGCGACATAGAAGAAAAGGACGAAGAAAACCGTGAAGTAGAGTGGGACATTTAGGTCATTTAATCATTAATCATTAATGACCTAGTTATTTATGAAAATGTTCTCCCTCTTAAGGTAAATGTGAATTATTGTGCTTATTAATGTGTATTTATGCAATTCTCCATTTAAAGTTTAAACAATCACTTTGAAAATCCATAGTTAAATGAAGGAAAATATAATTTAAATATTGTAAAGGGTGGCCTTTATAAGGGGGCAAAAGCTTAAAACCAAAATAAAACCAAACCCTACACCAATTTTGTATTTGACAGCCGTAACACAAAAACCAGTAGACACAAATTCGAAACGTGAGGCCATTTTTTTCGGTTTGCAAGATTCCTTAGTCATGCCGAAGCATAAGAATTTTAAATTTGATGACGGAGAAGATCTAGTAGCGAGTAGAGATGGCGGATCCGATGAAGAAGCGAATGAAGATCTTAGCTTGAAGACATTAGGGAAAACGTTATCTAGGCATGATTCAAAGGAGACAAGTATGTCTGGTAGTGTGTTGTTGAATGGTAGAAATGTAATGATAACCAATCTAGAAGAAGATGCCCACCAAATTGTCAGTATGAAAGATTATCTTCTCTATTCTAGCTTTAAAACACTTATCTTAGCAAAAGTTTTAATGCTTCTCGATTTTCCCTATGTTGTATCAGTCAGAGGAGAACATGGTGGAGACGGGTGTACCAAAAGAGCAAGAGAATGATAAGGTTGAGAAATCTTCCGAACCAAAACATGAAGGAACATCTAGCAATATGGTTTTGAAAAAGCTTCTTGTAAGTTGAAATCACTGCTCTTTATCTCCCGTTCTTTTACTTCTTCTTCTTTCTGGAGAATCAAAACAATGTAAGCCTTCTCTCTGTGATGACCATTGTTGGGGGTCTTGTGTTACCAGCGTGGAGCTAGGTATTTTGACCCTCCTGATGCTGGTTGGGAGGCTTGCTATAGTTGTGGGGAGCAAGGTCATGCTACTGTTAATTGTCCAACTCCAACTACGCGTAAGAAGCCTTGCTTTATATGCGGCAGTTTAGAACATGGTGCAAAGCAGTGTGTGCGGTCTTATGTAGCTGATTTTCTGTTTTTTTTTCATTTTGTTTTCCCAGTTTATACTCGCAGAAATGTTTGAGTGTAGTTTTGTGCTTACCATGGAAGATTAAGGACGGCTAGTCAAGTTATTCCCTAGGGTTGTTGAGTACATTTTCCTTGTTTCTACAGGGACACGATTGTTATATTTGCAAAAAAGGTGGCCACCGAGCGAAAGATTGTCCGGTAAGTACAAAAGCGGGTCTAAATCAGCTGTGTGTTTAAGATGTGGATGCTCTGGACATGACATGATATTGTGCAAGTATGAGTACTCTCGGGAGGATTTGAAGGTATCTTTGTTTTCTTTAAACTCAATACTCCTGCTTATCGTTTCGTTTTTTTTGGCACCTTCCGTTATTGTATTATGTTGGAGTTCAGAGAAGTGACAATGCTGTCTTATCAGGATATACAATGCTATGTCTGTAAACGCTTTGGCCATCTATGCTGTGTTGAACCTTGGTAACTCAGCGTTATGGTCTGTGTCTTGCTACAGATGTGGTCAACTGGGTCACATTGGATTGGTAAGTTGTTGAGAGTCTCATTTTGATTCACCCACCCGAGTCTATGGCTCTAAACAGAAACGATCTATTCTCATCATTTTCTGACTAGAATAATTTACTCTATAGGTATGTGGTAGATACTATGAGGAAAGCACATAAAAAGATTCTGCCAGCTCATGCTTCAAATGCGGAGAAGAAGGGCATTTCTCACGCGAATGCCCGAACTCATCGAGCATAAGCACTTCACATGGCCGAGAATCGCCGAGTCTATGCTACAGATGTAATGGAGCTGGACATTTTGCTCGTGAATGCCCTAATTCCTCCCAGGTATAGGCTCTATTCTTCTCTTCTTTCCTTTCTCTGTCTCTCATGTTATGTGACTCACCTTTCTCCTATTTTCAACATTTAGATTTCCAAGAGGAACCACGCGACATCTACACCATCACACAAATCTCACAAGAAAATTAAAGAAACCCCTGAATACAGTTCTACTCCCCATGAATTCAACATGAAGAATACGACCACGAAAAAGGGTAAAGATTTGAACACAATTCTAGTCCCTATGAATCCAGTGGGAAGAAGAAGAATAAGAACAAGAATAAGAATAAAGAAAACTCAGAAAAATATTCAACTTCCCATGAATCCAACGGGAAGAAGAAGAAATCACACAAAGGAGAACAGCCCCATTCTACACCACAAAAACCAAAAAAAAAAGAGGCGGTTGGATCACAGAAGATCCGGAAGAAGATTTTTTCCGGAGAGGAAATAAGAGGTCACCATCGGGTCATAACCACCATAGGTCGCCCACTACTACATATATGGGTGGTCTTAACTATAGATCACCAACCTTCCACTCCAGTAGGAATTTCCTGACCACACCATATGGTAGGAACTTATCATTCGAGTTTAGTGGGCATCAGAATCAAAGATATGCACCTGCTCCCTCAAGGTATGGTTCTCCCCACCAGTACGGTGGTAGCATTAGTTACTCTGGTTAGAAACCATATCTATCATGGTTGATTGTGTGTGTTGGGATGAAAGGTTAGCCGGGTTTCCCTAGGTCTCTTGTATTTGATTGGGGTTTTGGAGTCATCGTGTTGTTTTGTTTTCTTTTACACAAAGTAGTTTGTTGGGTCCTCATTTTCCTTCCCCAACTCAGATTTTCCTTCTTCTTTTTTTGCTTAATTTAACTTATAGAGAATTTTGTATTATGTTATTAATCATAATTTTATTTGTAAAATTGTTTATTTCCTCTATCAAGAACTTGAGATTATCCAATTAAAAGCATTTGGAAATGAAAAATACATTGATCATCAAATGGCCTTCTCATAGCGCAAATTTACAAAACTAGTAAACCAACGAAATTATAATTATATTGCAAACCAACTATATAACGTGATTCATAACCAATTACGTGATTCATAACCAATTAGTTATTGGTTTGAGTATTGTCTACAGCATGAAATTATAGTTATCCAAAATGTCATTCTATACTTTTATACACCAATTGCGTACGTGTTTCAATACCATTTAGTTCTAGGTTTAGTATTGTCAAGAGAATCAAATCCAACCAATCAAAAATTCAATTGACTACTTTATACCAATTGTGTCACATCTCAGTCTTTCTAAACCGGGATAACTTTATTTTCTAATTAATTAATTTTATTTGGATCAAAGTCCATTTTCTTTTGTTCTTCTTTTCTAACCCGTGGAATAAATCCTAGTGTTTACACTTTTTTTTTCTTATAAATAGATTAGGTGTTGACCCGCACTCGACGCGGAGTGAGTGACGGAAAGAAGTTATTACTAAAATGTATAAGATAATATAATATAAGCTTATTTGTATTTTTTGTTAGAGCAAAGTTTGTGTATTAGATATGTCAACTGATTGAAGTGTTTATATGGGAAAACAAAAATTCAGAGTAAGGAAAGACTTTTATTAATTTATTAAATTATTTATAAAAAATAAAAACATAAAATATAATTATTCATTTCATAACTAAAGTATGATGATAATAATAAAATAAATAATTAATAGATTTTTTTATATGATATATTTTGACTTTTTAAAACTAACGTATATTTATATATTTAAACAATTACTTATATATTTATAGAATCATTGAATGTTAAGAAAACCTTTAACTAAGAATGAAAATATACATAGCAGAAATTTTTATATTCAGAAAATAAAAACATAAATTAAATAAAAATATCATGTATCCCATCAGAAGACACTGTTTGGAATCTTTAAAAATTAGTTTTCTAGTCAGCTTAACTTATGTAAGTAAACGTCAAAATAAATTAATCAAGAAACATTAAAATGTTCAGGTATACGTACTTCGTTTTGCGAACTTCTATCCTTGAAAGTTCAGGATCAAACGAAATGTGAACATCATTCAAATCTCTTCTAATTATATATTTGAAATGACCAACTAAATAACTTATATCACATATATACATGTATATATATATATATATATATGTGCAAGAGCTATACGGTAAAATACCTTCTTCCCACGCAATGGATCATAAACTTAAAACATAACACAACATGAGCATCTGTGGAGGTTCAAAAATCAAGTAAATCCTGAGCGTTAGTTACATTACCGATATACTTGATTCCAGTGAACCTGTTTGCAATGTAAGACGTAATATTAATAAAACTATTTACAAAGACATAATTTCAGATGAACATGTTTGTAGAGATCAATATATAAGAATATTAATGCATCTTAACTAAAAAGGATATCATAAGAATGAGGAGAACAAACTCGAGATTACTTAAAACTTCACCCTTAGGTTTTCGAACAATTATTTTATATAAATTAATTATCTTCACATAACTTTTTTTTTTGGTATCATAGTTTTTTTTTGAGTTTGTTTGTGATTCTTTAGAAATAACTTTAGTTTAATATATATATAGTCATCAAACTTAGGGTTTAGACACACAAGATTTGAGTTTCAAACGAATAATTTTAAATTTTCAAAAATTTACTCTTTTAATGTTTGGCAAATTCGGAAAGTATTGATTTACTATAATATTTGACCATAAACCAAGTATGTTTGACCATAGATCAACAACAACTACTTGTGCATCACCATATATGTTTATTCAATACTTAAAAAAATCATGGAACTTAATGGAAGGGATTCTTTGAAATTTATTACAATTTTTTGAGAGTTATAAGGTTCAGTAGCATTAGAAAAAAAAATTCTTAGTAAGTTTTTTTTTTTTAAAATATATATTTCTTTAGTTTGAGAAACAAACGATGTATCAGACATATTATAGTTTAAAAAATTATTATTCAGAAATATAATTTACATTTAGTTTGAGAAAACAAATATTTTTCAGATATCATATAATAATATTGATATCATATCAAATAATGCATTGGAAATGTGAAATATCTATTTCTTAGAAACAATTTTTTTTCTAAAACATGGATTATACTGAAACAAAAAAAGTATGTAACTAACCATATTTGATATATTTAGTAAAAACGCTACTCAAATAATATTTATTTTTATTTTGCAATTAAAACGGACTTATATTTTGGTTAGTAACTAACCATATTTGGTATATTTACGATTATGGATTATAATTTACCCTAATTTTATCTTCTGATTGATAATATTTATGTCTAGAATCACTAATTCAGCTTGTCTCTAAATTTAATTGGCAAAAACTATTCAAGAGAAGAAGCAAATTTAATTATAGTTTTCCGGAATATAATCATATTGAGTGGATAAATTAGTGACATAATTTATGCTAATTACCATTTATATCAAGTTTGGCCATTATCATAATGACATGATTGTGATTTTATATGTATTATAGGAAACATAATATGTGTTATAATAATCATAATGTATTATAGAAATCATAATGACATAATTTATGCTAATTACAATTTATATCAAGTTTGGCCGTTCTCATAATGACATGATTGTGATTTTATATGTATTATAGGGAACAATAATCGTTTAAATCTTTTTCAATATAAAAATATGTTCCAAAGTGATTTTTTGTATGTAGATATATATATATATATATATATATATATATAACATTATAAAGATAAGATATAGTTTGATATACATTTATTTATATGTCAATAATATTTTTACTGGAATTTGCATTATAATAATCATTTGATTAATACCATTTTTCAAATACGATATCTACAGAAATTATTTATTCAACATTCAAACATCTATTATAAAGTTATATATAATCATTCGGTAACTATATAGATCAATGATTAATATTATATTTTGAATTTACAAATACGTATTTTTAAATATAATTCATTACTTATATTATAAAGTTAAACATTTGATTCATACCATTGTCAAATAATATTCATATCATACATACCATTACCAAACCATTATTTTAATATGTCTAGGTAATAAATAGTGATAAATACATAGAGGTACATGATGCATAAAATGAAAGTAAAAAAATAGGTTTGACCTCAATGGCATGAAATGTAATATGTCTAGGCAAGAAAGGGATTTTCCAAAAAGACAATGAGGTGGATTATGGTGATGCCACCTAAGTAATGGCAAAATAGTTAATCCCACATGAACTAAAGGTTTATTGTCAAAAGTTCTCCTCAAATAATAAGAAGGGGATACTTATTTTTGACTCGTGCATCCACACGGTTGTATATTCTGTATAAATATATGTTTGTATTAATTGTAAAAACATTCATATTTATGTCTCATAGGTTATTGAGTTCTGATGTCGGATATTTTGTTCATTTTTTTAGTGTCTTTCTTCTAACTATCAAGTTGTATGTTTTTTGATATTCTATTTTTTACTTGGTAAACTAAACATTTAAGTATAAATATTAGTGTATCTTGTTTAAATTGTGTGTTACTAAATTATACTATAAATTTTGTGATTGAAATTATAATTTAAAATTAGATTTTATAGATATTTTTAAAATAAATTATTTAGACAGCAAAAATTAGAAAAGATTCACACAAAAATAAGAACTCTAGCAATGTTATTAATTGTTAAATTGAATTAGGCTATTTGGTTTCGGGCGATTTGGTTTTAATTTTAAATTAGTGGACATTAAACCTAAGAGCAAAACTACAGTGTTTTAATTGCAGTGGCATTCTATTGTAATTTTTGAAGAAATTTAAGGGTTATTTTTTTTGTATTTCCCCGTTAATAGTTTAGATGTTATTAAATTATACTATAATTTTTGTGACTGAAATTAT